TGGACTCCTCTGACACAGCTTTTATCAATATCATTTCACTTGTATAATAAGGTTATACAACCTGACTTGTAAGTGCTGAAGTAACTTTTCTGACTTGAAGGAAATGACAGAAAGAGGTACTTCAAAGAGTTATCTATTTTTATCTATTAAAATGTTGCTCCAATGACCATTTTTACCTCCGGGAAACACTGCATTAAATGTTTCTCTGCCTTCCCTTTTTGAGTGCATATCAAGACAGAGAACTTCTGGAGCTTTTCAGAGACGAGAGGAAAAGAGCTTTGAAATGAATCTCACTTTCTTTTTTTTTTGGCACCAACACAGTGTCTTGCTTGGCATTCTTTCTATCAGTGACCTCCAAGTCTATGACTCCTAGAACATGCATTTTACCCCCTTTGTTTCTTTCTTTTTTTTTTTTTTTTTTTTTTTTTTTTTTTTTTTTTTTTTTTTGGTTTTTCTCTGGTACCGGGAACCGAACTCACGACCTTGCGCTTGCTAGGCAGGCGCTTTTGCCGCTGAGCTAAATCCCCAGCCCCCCTTTGTTTCTTTCTTAAAGCAAGAAAAGCCTATTCCACCAGCCATGAATAATCTAACGGCATCCTGCTGGCACTCCCCACTGCTCCGTCTCTCCCTCTTTCATGTGTGTGTTGTCACACACAGATATAACGTCTACAGCTCGGGCGTATTAACAGACACCCCAGCCTCCTTGCCCCTAGTTAAGGTGCCAAACCCATGCCTCGCTCCCAGCCACCAGAGAACAGACTGGCTCTTCCATCACTCAAGCCTGTTATTCTCATCTCCTCCTACGCCACATGCTCTTTCTTGATGCTTTGTAGCATGTGGTTAAAAAAGGTGAGACACATTTAGTATTTTAAGATTAATATTATATATCTTTGACTCTTATGAGGCTAGACACCCTGGGGACTGACGTTTAATAGATGTTAATGGAATTTAATTTTTATACCCACTAGGTGTGAACATTTACCTTCTAAACAAAATAGTAAGAAACCGCATGTAGCACCAAGAAAATTTCAAAACAAATTATTTTTCACTCTGTAACCTTAAATCGAGTTGCAGAGCAGAAAAGCTGTTTTTTGATATTTAGAATGAGAACCGAAATATAGTTATTATTAATTAATTACAGAGAGAGTCAGTGTTAACTTTACATTTTGCCATGGTTCTTGTCATTGCAAAACATTTCCAAAACAGTGCCTAAAACCAACTTTCTCCACAAGCTGTTTTCCCAGTGATTTTTCTGTAGGCAAGGATGGACTGCTTCCTGGCAAAAGAAATCTGACCCCAATCATATTAAAAAATAATCAGCTTGATGTATGTTTTGAAATTTTTTATTTAAAGAAAAAACTTTCATAAAGCATCATCATTCAAAAATACCTTATACAGTTATCTGTCCACCACAGTGTATGCTGGGTAAATTAATTTTAAGGTTGTGGTGGGAGGCATAACAGGCAGGTACTGTTTACCATACATTTTTGTCTACAATGTTAAGTAAAGTTTAATTTCAAATTTTATCTAATGTTATGATTTATAAAATTTGGATAATAATAGAAATAGAAGAAAATAGCATCTATGTATTTTTGCAATCTTCCCAATTCTTTCACGTATAAAAAGCTGCCAGTTTATTATTCTTTACATATTTTAAATGCTGAAATCCTTCCAGTTCCAATTAATGAAGAAAAACTCTTTGTGCTTTGGTGCCTGGACCTGCAGTGGCTACTTAATGAACACTCGAGGAGCAAATGAATGCATTTGGTGGCAGGGAGGTGCTCATGGCGAAGGTGAGGTAACGTAGGACACCAAAAAGAGCAAGGTAAGGACCAGACCGGGTTCTTGTCCCAGTCCTGTGCCACCCTGGGCATGGGGCCTTGGGTAAGGAACTTGACTTTCCTGGATCTTTGCTTCCTCTCTGAATTTGAGTGCTAGGGATGATACGGAAAGGTCTCACAGGCTCTAAAAGGCTACGGATCTGAATCTTAAAATCAGCCAATCATTGTTCTTGGATTTCCGTGTGTCTCTACAGGAGAGACATAAACTGTCCTGAAATTGTGCATAGATATAGTAGCCTCTAGAATGAAATGTATGGAGGGGTTCCAAATGCTAAGGCCAGCAGGAGAAAGACAGAAGGACAGGGGTTTACAACAGAAACTTGAGCATGTGTGGGAAACATGTACAACGGAAGTAGAAGGGGAATCTGGAAAAGAGAAGTCTCCGTAGCTCAGATTCGTGAAGTCTCTAGACAGCAAGTTTCCTCGAGAGGTCAAAAGTAAGTAGGTTTTTATTTATGGCAGATTAACAAATGATTAATTTATAAGAGGCTTCCTCTCCAGAGAGCACAGACTGCTTTATTTCCTAATTGGACGAGTCTTTGCACATAAATAAAGGAGAATCACTGCGGCCGGTTGGGAGACACTCTGACAAGACAAGCTTGTTCTTGTCTCTGTCTTGATTTACTATATGACCTTGGGCAAGTCATTTATCTTCCTCTGAAACCAGTTTCTCTAATTGTAAAATGGAAATAAAAATACGCACAGCCTTTCCTGAAGATTAATGAGACAAAATGAATGTCCTCAAGTTCCCGGAGGGGAAGAGGCCTTCTATATGGAAGTAATGAAGTATTAAATAGCACCGTTGGACTTTTCACACAACTTGAGAAAGAAAACAACACGGGAAAACCCTTGAGTCTGAAGTTTCTCCATCTAAAAAGGAGGAACTCCCCCCTTATAACCAGCCCAACTTCTCCTACGTATCACACAGAGCACACTGGCGACTGTGGCGGCTCCTTGGGAAGTGGCCCTGAATTATTTCCTCACAATTGTAACTCTTGCTTGGCTGACATCACTGGCATCTCGGGCAAACTCCCGTTTGGCTGTCTCAGTTCCTTCTTCTGTAAGACACTAGATAATACTACTTCTTACTAGATAGATAAATAATAGATAGATGATAGAGATGTGTAAGGCTCTGGCATATTACTGATTTCCCAATAAATATTTGCTTACAATTTGTTTCATAGCAGCATAGTTCAAACTACTACAGGAACACTTTCTATTTCAGTATCAGAAGGCTTTATGAAGGTGCACTGATATAAACATTTGTACTCTAAAAAGATGGCGAGGACCTCATGGAAAGTCATAAAGCTTGCCACCTTCTGCGGAATGATTTTGGAGAACCTGGACAACGCCTTGAAATTCTCCGACGCGGACGCGAGAGGGCACTGTGCACCTGCTTTGAGGGTGGAAAGACGCGAGCCTGGGCTCATCCTGCATCCCAGCGTCTGGGCGCCCCGCACCCTATGAGGGTGCGCGACCTTAGCTCGGGCTCCACAAAGGGTGGCCTGGGTGGCCCGGACTGGGAAGCCTCAGAAGCAGTCTTGTGTGTCTCCATCCAGCAATATAGGGCATATAGGGTCCTTTCTGGAAAGTGTTTTACATTTGAGGGGTCTGGAGTTAGAGAACCCCGGACACCCTGGCAAAGGCAGGGAACATTTAGGCTGCGCCAACATCGGGTATTTTTTTTTGGCATCATCTGACTTTTAAGGGGTTCGTGTCCCAACAGGGGGTAAGTGCTACTGAGTTAGCCAAGGAAGGACCCCTCCCCCATACACACTCCCGGGAGCCAAGGGCGCAGCGGACTCTGAAATCACTACGTGTTCACCTCTAGACGTCGGAGTGAGAGGCTGGCACCCCCACGGCGACTTCTTCAGAACAAGGGTCAGGTCCTGAAATAGCTCAGGTGTAAGCTGAATAGCACCTCTGCAAAAGGGAAGAAACAGTGTTTGTCCTCAGGGTTGCTGGCCGCCCTTTCTCCCAAGAGGTCAGACACGCGGTCCAGGCACTCGGGTCTGTCTCACCTGCCGCTCGGATTCCCACCCCAAAAGGTTGCTCTGGCCTCAAACGGTGCCATGGGAAAGTCGGTTGATTTTGCTGCGCTGTAGTGTGTACCGCGGGTGAAGCTGACCTGGCCCCTCTAATCCGGCTGCAGGGTGGTGTACGGTGTTGGTTCCCCCCATCCTGGGACGGGAGAAGGGAAGGCCACCTCTGACCCCGGGGTGGGGGACTGAGCGCCTCGCGCGTTGCAGGGAGCAGAATCGCCAGCGCGCCCAGCCGAGCGCAGGGTGGCAGCGCCCAGGAGAAGGCAGAGAGCCGACAAGGGTCTCGCCTGGCAGGGAGCAAGGTAGCGGACCAGCCCTCGCCAGGGAGAGAGTACAGCCCGCCCCAAACTTTTGCTTATCTGTGCCGGTAGAAGGGCGAGCCGCACCGGAGCAGCGCAGCCTCCCCGCCGCGCGACCGTGGCAAGGAGGGGCTGGAGCGGGGCTCCCTACGTCCACCCGCCGCCCGCCCGGCGTCGCCGCTCGGGGCACAGCTCAGACGAGCGCAGCAGCAGCCGGGGCGCCGCCGCCAGCGCGAGCGCGGGCTCCGAGGAAGGAGCCCGGCGTGGATGTAGCGGGGAGCAGGGACGCCGCGCCTCGCAGCCTCGCAGCCTCGCAGCCTCGCCCTGTGGCTTGGCGGGGCCGTGCCCTTGGGCACCAGCGCTGCCGCCGTCAGACAGGCTCGGAAGAAGTGAGCGCGGCGACTTCCAAGGGTTACAGAAGTCCCATTAGGCAGAAATGTCCAAAGCCACCCAAGGTCGCCAGCCCCTGGCGCCTGGCAGCTTCAGCGCCGCCCGCACCTCACCAGGAGGACGACGGTGACGGGCGCTCGCGGAGAGGAGCCGGGGCGCAGAGGAGCCGCCTCCCCAGCGCGGACTCGGGCGCAGCCGCCAGCCGCGGCGGTCGGACGGCGCGAT